TCAAAGAATAAATCTGGGTAGTCAAAAAATTTCAGGTTTTAAGTAAAATAATTTCGTCTTCTATGAAAAACTATTTTGACTTTTTTTCTTGAAATTGCAATTTCGGGACCCCAAAATAATTTTGCGTGCAAGTATAGCCTATGCCATTTCACGAGCTCAAGAGTACAGTTTCAAGGAAAGATAAGTTAAGAAGAGATAGAAAGGTAAGTAAATTTATTTTATTAAAAAAAAATAATTAAAAAAAGAAAGAAAAAATTTATTTGTGCCATTCCATGATGCTACAATCATGATTCGAAGTACCTACGCTATTTAACGAGTCTAAGAGTATAATTCTGAAGAAAAAAAAGGTAGAAAGGTAAGTAATTTATTTTATTAGACGAAAAGCTTAAAAAAAATTTAAAAAAAATAGATATAAATTATTTATCTGTGCCATTCTGTAAACGATTCCAAATACTTATGCCATTACGCGAGCCCAAAAGCACACTTCTGAGGAAATGTAAGTCAAGAAGAGGTAAGTTATTTATTTATTTTTTTTTTTTAAAAAAAAAATTAAAATCGAACAGCCACCAATGTGCTAAATCTCCTTAAGGAAGAAAAGTAAGTTATTTATTTATTAAAAAAAAATAATTTAAAGAAAAAATTAAAATTATAATAAATTATAATACTACTTTAGATCATTATAGATGCTCTTTTTCTCTGTGCTGTCTCAAAGTTATTTTATTATTTTTTTCTTTTTAAAAAATATTTTTTTAAAAAAAAAAGATCTATAGATCTATTATTTTAAGGTTTCACAATTATTTTGATCCCGCTGAAATATTAATTTCGACTGGGAGTTTTGAAGTTACGACTGAAATTATACTAAATTTCGTCTCCCGTGATAATTTCGTCTCCTGCAAACAATTTCAGGGTTAATTTAATACCTTAGTAGAAAACCATTCTACTCTTTATAAATCACAAGCGAAGTCAAAAAAACATAAAAATCTCCAGAAATTTTTACGTTTTTTCAATTTCGCTTGCAGTTTATAAAGAATAGAATGATTTTCTACTAAAGAATTTCTAAGATAGAAAGAAAGGCCTTGTTCTTGGCTACAAAATGATATTTGTTTCATTTCGATAGCTTCGATATTCGCGGAGTTATTCTAAATTAAAGGAAACGTCAATAAAAAAATCGTGCATCAAAATTTTTTGCACAATTTTTTATGTATGTTTTTCTTTAATTTAGAATAACTCCATGAATATTGAAGTTATCGGAATAAAACATATATCATTCTGTAGCTAAGAACAAGGCCTTTCTTTCTATTTTAGAAATATCTTAGTAGAAAATCATTCTACTCTTTATAAATCACGAATGAAGTCAAAAAAATATGAAAATCTCTGGAAATTTTTATTTTTTTTGACTTCGCTCGTGATTTATAAAGAATAGAACAATTTTCTGCTAAAATATTCTAAGATAGAAAGAAAGGCCGTATTTTTAGCTATAAAATGATATGTGTTTTATTCCGATAACTTTGATATTCGCGAAGCTACAATGTATTATGAATATTATATTCTGAAATAATTCACTTTACAACATAATAAGTTCACGAATATCAAAGTTATCAGAATAAAAAAATATTATTTTGTAGCTAAGAACAAGGCCTTTCTTTCTATCTTAGAAATACCTTAGTAAAAAATTGTTCTACTCTTTATAAATTACGAGCAAAGTCAAAAAAATATAAAAATTTTTAAAAATTTTCATTTTTTTTAACTTCACTTATGATTTATAAAGAGTAGAATGATTTTCTACTAAGATATTTTTAAGATAGAAAGAAAGGCCTTGTTCTTAGCTACAAAATAATATTTTTTTATTCCGATAGCATCTATGATCACAGAGTTATTACATTGTAAAATGAATTATTTTAGAATATAACATTCATAATATGTTGTAGAACAGATCATTCTAGAATGCAATGTTTGTAATATACTTGCACGCAAAATTATTTTGGGGTTCCGAAATTACAATTTCGAGGAAAAAAGTTGAAATAGTTTTTCATAGAAGATGAAATTATTTTACTTAAAACCCGAAATTTTTTGACCACCCAGATTTATTCTTTGATTAAAGATACATATAACTAGGTACTTTTTTTACTTCCATATATAGAATAGATTTTGCATAAATCTCAAAAAGTCGAAATACCTCAAAAATCCAAAATCAATTTTGGGAACATGTATAGTTTGTAATATACAATAAAACAGGATCAACATATTTAATACGTTCTAGAATGCTTTTATATAATTCTTGATATATAATTATAAATTTCTGAGCTAAATTTATTTTTCCAATTGATATTATTAAAATTATTATTTAAAGATTTTCATTTTTATAATAATATAAAACTATCATATATTCGTGAGTTTCTGAATCTTTTATAATTTTCAAAATTCCACCCTGTACCATTTGTTCTCAAGAAAAATAACATATTCTTTAAATTATAGTGTATTTTCAAATAAATTTCCATATTAATTATTAATTTAAAAATATTTAAAATTAAAGATTAGAACCAGTTTAAACTTTCAAAACCAGATCATTCGTGTGATATTTTTTATTTTTAGAAGTTTTATATTTTTTTTTATATTTTTTCGACTGTACTCGTGATTTGCAAAATGTGAAATAATTTTTTACTAAGATATTTCTATAATAGATAAAACAGCCTTGTTACATATATCAGGTATATGAATGGTTATTAAATTTAAAACTAAAATATCTTAGTAATCATGTACCGATAGGATAAAAAAAATATCAGGTACCTAATAAATATTTAACAAATCGTATATCCAATATTATTATTAATTTCAAACCATGTACAAGATATTGTAAGGTGTCCGATATTAATAATAATATCTTGTGCCTGATAATAAAATATTATTTATCAATCACCTATCATGATAATATCGGGTACATTATAAATTTTACAAATATTGATACAGGTACTTATGACTATCGAGTACCCGATAAGTATCAGTTATGTACTCGATATCACGAAATATCATATATCCGATAGGTACCTGATAGGTACTCAATAGGTATCAGATAGGTACCCGATATCACGAAATATCATATATCCGATAGGTGCCTAATAGGTATCTGATAGGTATCTGATATTTAAATTTTGACCTGTGAAAGGTCTGATTTCCTTTCTAAAATAATTGAATCAGTGGTACCTTCTAAAATAATAAAACAACAGTCTTACCTTTGGGAAAGGACTATAAACTCCTTAAAGAACTATTACATTACTTTACTGATTTGTCCTTAAAGGAAACCAGGAACTATCAGTGACACTGGCACAGTCATGTGATTAAATATTCTTGTAAAGGATCTAGCTGGTATACCACAGTATTTTTACCTTGATCATATCAAAATTTCACTATCTCCACATACATTTTACACTAGATCTCTTGTTTATTTATTATTAACTTTAAGAAATATTATGATTATAAACAAAAGCTTACTGATACAAGCATTAGAACAAGCTATATCTAACCTGTCATGAAATCCACAATTAAGTCCTACTGTTTCATCACCATTACGTAATTAATATTAGGTATGTATAGGAAGTGTAGATATAGATTTTATTTTGTATTTTTTTATATATAGATATTTTGTATTTTTATTATGTAATTTTTTATCATATATATCAATAAAGAATTTTTCTGGTTATAGAAACATAGTTTTTATTATGGGAAAAGCCCTCTGTCTTTTATCATATATTTTTATCATTTATAGATATTCTGCATTTTATCATGTATTTTATCCTATATATTTATTAATAAAGATTTTCGGTTAGAAGTACATACAATTTATCATGTGTTATTTTTTGTGTAATGTGTAACTAGTAATTTTTTCTCAATAATTTTTCCGGAATAATTTTCTTGGCAAAAGTGATCGGCATTACAATTTGTAACATGGAAAAATTCAGATATTTTTTTTTGATTGTTTCCCAGGGAAACGGTTTTGAGATTTTTCACAGAGTCATGTGATTTTAACTCAAACTTTTGAACATATCCGTATCTTGTATAAAACAATGGAAGACGCTCAATCCACAATTGATTTGTTGAGAGAATTGAATACCAAGTTCGTTCTTCAAATTGATGAACTTAGAAAGGAGAATGCCGATATCAAGACTGAAAATATAAAATTAAAACAAGATAAAGCAGAAGTCGAAGCCAGATTTGTGAAATTAGAGTAGAATGATAAAGATACTGCTTCTGAAAATGCTGAACTTAAAGTTAGAATTACGAAATTGGAACAGAAGCAGTTACAAAATGATGAAGAAAAAAATAACCATATTGCTAAATTGGCTAATGATATCATAGAAATTAACCAATCTTCAGTCTGTGAAGCAGGATACTCTGTATCTAATATCACCTCTACCGAAATGATAAATTCTAGCCACTCTGTGACTGCCTTTGACAATGATGCTCCTGCATCCAATACTGTATATCCGATAACACTTCAAATTCTAATGAATCCAATAATGCTTTGACAGGAGAGCAAAATTCTGATAATACTCCTAAACAGATAGAAAATATATCTGATAATACATCTAATTCTAATACCCAAGAATCAGATACCTGATGCTCTAAATCTCCTATCTCTGCAAAAACTATATCATTGGAAGATAAGGAGATCATTGAATTTCTGGATTTAAAAGAGAAGGAAAGGGTTAGTAATATGATGAGAGAGAGGAATCGGGAAAAGAAACTTCGGGATCAAAATCCATCTTCGGATAATAATCCATCAGATCAATCTAATTTATTATGTGATATAAAAACCGTTGGTAACGATCAGAATTCATGTGATATAAAAACTTTTACGATCAAAACTTGGAAATTTCAGCCCAGGGAAATGTAAATCCCCAGGCCGAAAAAAATAACCATAAGAAAAAAGGAGCAGAAAAAATTGTTCAGATGATATCTGATGGTATTCAGAATGATACAAAATGTCATAAACTTATTTCCGATACTTCAGAAGATTTGTTATTGAAACGAAGTCAAATTTCTTCTACAGTTCCATTACTTACTTTAGCTCAATTATTTAATAAAACAACTGATACTGAATATGGCGCAATTCGTGTCAATCAGGAAGAAATTTTATGCTGGTGTTATTATGGGAAAGAATTCTTGATTCAGGTTAGTGTGATTATAAAAGATGATAAAATCGGTGAGAAAAAGGCAAAAGGAATAATCTATGATTAAATGTTAGAAGATCTTTCAAATCTCCGTAAAAAGAGATCTGAAGATACAGGTTTACAACTTCCAGGAATCTCACGCAAATACTTACAAGGAAAAATCCAGAGAGCCGTAAAAATATATAAATTATTCGAAAAAATTGGCATAGACAAAATTAAGTATATTAAAATATACAGCGCGAACTCTATTTCAGAATTAACTAATGATAAAATCCAAACCATTATAAATCATTTCTCTAAAAGTAGTGATACCGATTTACTCGATAGTTCTATTGAAAATTCCTTAGACGATTTAACAGAAACATCTGCTCCCTCTATCCCATTACCCCATAGCTCTAATTCGGAAGGTAAGGTAAGTGAGAAAGCCATGAAAACTTTACCAGAAGCTGAGGTAAGTGTAGTGTCTGAAATAATTTCGCTGGTAATTTCAAATAATACTGGGAATGACAAGATAGCAGATATAGATTTCACGTGCTCCGATGATGAGGATGAAGCGGGATATTATTATGATCTAAATAGCGGGGGAAATCTATAAAGACTCATCTATAGGATGTTTTGCATGATTTAACTAATAATTTTAACATTGCTATTGTATTTAACGGGGAATTTATAAATATATAATATATCCGATAATAAAAATTTTTTCCAAGAATATTATCAGTTAATATATCTGTTTTTCATCATTTTTTTTTCTCCGTATATAAATGTTTAGAAGATTAAGATCGGGTACAACTCACTTATCACCCGAAGCAATTGGTGATATTATTACTACAAATACATTACCGATATTAGCTAGAAAGTATAACATATCATATACAAGAATTCACGAAATATGGTAACTCGCTACTGCAATAAATAATTAATATATATATAATCGCGTTTACTTTTTCATGTATATTTCGGGATTGAATACGTTGTATAATCATCGATGTATATTAACTTGCATATTTTTGATTGGAAATTTTTTCATACTTCAAAATAATGACACTTCTGACCTTGCTTTATTTAACAAGATAAAAAATGTTGCCGGAACAACATACAAAAAAAATTATATCTTTGATATACACTGCCAATTACAATGTGGATATATTTTATTCTTTTTTGTGCCATCTACGAGTATGGATATCTTCATAGTGTTTCAGAAAAGTATAATTATCAGTGAATGTTACTTCACATCTAGGGCAGTTGATTTGCAATTCTTCGTTTGGTGATGGTGATTCTGAGGATTCCTAGTTATGGAATATATGAATTTATAACAAAAAGTAACGAATAATAAAAAAATTATGTCATAAAATTTACCTGTGAAATTGTATCATCAATTTTCTCTACTTCAAGAGTAAATCCCGGTAAAACACTGCCACCATTTACATTATTCCAGCCATGTGAAGTTCGATAAACAACCCCATTAGCCCCTTGTCTGTAAATATATATTTCCTTGTCTTCTGGATTCACTAACCAACCAAGCTTAATCAATGAGCCCGTTGAAAAGTAAACTTTCTTGAATTTTTCATCCAAATCATTGAATTTTTGAGAACCTTCTTTTTCAGTT